GCGACCCTCTGACGGGACGCTTGGCCATTTCCTTATCTGTAGCTATCAGATAAGGCCACCGTTTAGCTTGAAATCCGGACCAAAGAGGGCGTGTTGCCTCTCGACACTATATACTCCAGTGACGATCGGCTCAACCCTCCAGGACTCCTTCATCCCCGCATACGGCGCTCAACTGCGCAGGTCCTAGTGCAGGTGGGTGTGTTAGTCCACCGGATACACCCACTTTTCCGGGCTTGGGACCGGCAGCAACAAAAAGCATTGACAAAGTTAGTTGCCCGTGCTTCCTGTTGCAGGCAGAGTTAACGCAAACTGTGTAACGATAGGTATCCCAAAACGGAAAACGGCCCACTAACCGATGACCTTCGTTGATATTCGTCGCTTCTCGTTCTCGCAACGATAGTTTAAATAAGTATAGAAAGAGATGAAACGAATATGGATATCGTTGCGATGTTTTGGTAGTTATCACACAACGGTGCACATTGCGAAATATATTATATAGTTAAAGCAATAAGGTCGAATTTTAAATGTTAAAATTGCCTAAATTTTAAGTTTGTGTAGTTGTGAGAGTTATCAAATTTCAAATGGTCTTTAGCTCATTAGGCACAAGGCTTGGGTTTGTAAAACATAAAACGTAAAAACTGGAACGATATGCCAACACGGCCCAACCGACCGATGCGATGTCATTCATTGTTTCTTGTTCTTGCGACGGTATCATAAATACGTATAGAAAGAGAGGATTTCTGATGTTTTGGTATATAGTTATATTTTTTAAGTTTAAGTTTTATAGTTATAGTTTCACACGTTACACAATGCACATCTGGATATAATTACCTAAAGCAAAAAGGTCAGATTTCAAATGGTTAAAATTATCTAATTTTTACAACAACAACAACGACAATAGACACAAGACTTGCATTTGTATGATCTTATTATATTAATTTGGTTTAGGCTACTTTATGTTTATGTTTTTTTTATATTTTGGATGGAAAGTTTAGAATTTGCTCTTTTTAAAACGCAACAATTACGCACTTGGTCTTGGTGGCTCGTGCTCGTGCCGTTCGCAAGATAATAACATCCAGTAAGTTATTAATTTTTGATGTCGCGTTTGTGCATTTATTTGCAATATTAGTGTGCATTTTGTGCATTAGCATTAGTTATGATTAACTTTCTTTATTGTGCAATGGGCGTTGCCTATTTTGTATTTTGTGGAATTCGAATTTAAAACTTTTCTGCTAGTCCTAAGCCTAGTTAATAAATAAACTAACTAAAATAATTTTTATAAATATATATAAATTATATTTACTTCTTAAGAATACACTTTAATTATTTCGACTTCGAAATCAAACTTTGATCCTACGTTTCAATTTGAAAAAAAAAGGGTAACAAAGTTATAGAAATAAGGATAAAATGAACATAATTTTATCCACTACTCCATTATCATTCGTAAAAAGCGACTTAAGGGGAAATATAATGTAAAATGGCTTAGCAAGATCCTTCGTTATGCCGAAAATATTGCAGCATTAATTTTGAAATAAATATATGGTAAAGTTGAAGATTAATGTTAGTGATTATGTTAGACGAAAACACGATTTCGTAAAATTTTCTCGATAGAAAAAAATCCAAAGTTACTTCAAGTTCCGTGTTATTCATAAAATACTTTAAATAAGATCATGAAACTTTGCATACTAACTGAACTAACTATAAAGCAGTGCTTATGTTATTTACTTTTTTTAAAATACCATTATTTTCACTGTAAAAAGAAATTACCTAAACTATCGGCGTCTTGAGCTTGATTCCTGTCGTTCCGTTAGTATCGCTTAGGCTTTTGAAGGGAGAAGTTGTGTCGCTTACGATCAGAATATACATTACGCAACAGTACGACGTAAAATTAAAATGGGAAATAACCGTGATAAAAATAAGAAGCGGCTGGCTTGGCTTTGAGAAACAGGCATAAATATGATAAACCTAATGAAATAAGTGTCTAACAACCTTTCTACTTACAGTATTAGTGATTACAAATATTTCGGTACATAGCATACGACGCGCGGGGAAGTGGGGGCGAAATTAGAATTTGAGCTGACTTACTCTAACCTCTTAAGGAAACAAATCAGGAGATGGGCAGCGATATTTTCGTACTGTGACTGTGAACAGTGTGTGTCGTGAAGACACACGACAGAAGTGAAACTTTTGTATTAAAAGGAAACATTTAAATCAATTACTTTAGAATAACGTAGATAATGTATACCATTAATTAATTTACATAAAATTATATACACGTATGTGTCACAGTACATCATCTTCTTCGATCTTAAGAAGAAATACGAGTATTATCGGTTTAGTTTGTTAATTAGGTAATTGTCTATTATTTATATACATTTATTTTAATAAACCACAATTTTATGCTATGTCAACAAAAAAATATTTAAATAAAAATTTACAGTTTGTTATTTTATATAAACTAAGTAAATAATAAAATTTGACGTCTCCGTGGCACATCAGCTTTGAATTATAAAGCTAAATACCGCGGGTTCGAATCCCGCACGATACAGGTATTTGTATGGCTTACAAATAATTGTTGCGGGTCTGGATGTTTGTCCTAGTACAATTTATGTATATAGAATGCCTACAGGAGAAAATAATAATAAAATAGATAGACTATCATAGATAGAGAAACTAACGTTTCTAAGTAACATGAAGTTATAGATATAACTTCATGCTAAGCAACAACAATCCAGTGCTGCCAGATTTTTTAACCTTCTCCCCTAGATTTTTTCAAAAAGCCCCTAGTTTTCCTATGTAGGGGGTTAAAAACCTTTTTATTCAGTCAAGTTTCGTGTGAATCAGATTTATCAATAATAAAAAAGTTACTACTACATACAAGCTACGTAATGATGAAAACTAAGTCAATTTTTAAACTTTTTATTGTTTTCATCTTCTACGCATTTCGTCAACCATGTCTTGGACACTTTTTCATCCTCTCAAGATATTTTATATTTTTGAGAGTACTGTTTGATTTTATTCAGAAAAGAAATCTTGGAATAGTTATCTAGGGATGTTCGATGATCATCTATGTTAAAAATCGAAACATCGATGTTGCCACATTTCTGTTAGGAATCGTATTTCAGATTTATTTATTGTTTACACAATCTACCTATTTCTTCCGAACCAAGCATCGTGCTTCCCGACGAATGACCTTGCAATTTGCATGCATTAGGCATCGCAGAACTCACATAGGGGCGAAAGTATGGTCAGTCGATAATAGTCAGAATAGGTATTTCACCTAAGTAACATAACATTTCGCAATGTATTTTTTTACTTTCTACTGATATCAATTAATAACCACGGAAAGTCCGCCGTGACTTAGGAAGCGGAAAAGATGCAAAGTAATATGGGCACTAACGCGCAGCGATAAAGTTTTATTTGGCTTGCGTGCGCGATTTATCGATTAATAATTATGTAGGCTATTAAACATCGGCAAGCAGTCAACATCAAAGGAGTGCAACTTCTGTACGTAGTACTAATATTTATTCTGTGGTATAGACATCATATCTAGAATATTTACCGTTAAACAACTAGAGTTGTTAAATGCATGGTTCTAAAAACGTTGTTCGCCATATATCCCTAACGTAAATTACAACGTCACTATTTTGGTTTGAGTTATATACAGATTTATAGACATTATGTCCTTGCAATTGATGATTATTTATAATTTCATTTAGCCAACCCTCTATTAAGATTATAACATCATAAATAATACCTGTTCGTCGCATTGCTACCAAAAAATGTCAAAGTTCTTTTGGATACACCTTATATTTAAATTTATTAATTTAAAGTTATATTCCTGAGAAAATTTGACTTTACACTGCTATAGTTTATTCACATTATAGTAGAGATATTTTTTTTTATTTTATTTATTATTATTATTATTATTATTACTTAACAGGCTAGCAGTTGAAACAACTGATGTAAGCCCGTATCCTATTTTCAAATATGTAATTATTCTTATTTTAGATGTTTGTCTAATCCGTTCTTGAATTGGTTAATAGTTTGTGCAGATATTACTTCTGATGGCAGTTTATTCCATGCTTTAACCACTCTTTGGCTAAAAAAGGTGCTTGTGTGGGTTGTTATGTGACACGGTTTTGGTTAATTTGAAGTGATGTCCCCTAAGATGTGTGTTTGTTGAGTACTGGAATAAATCTCTGTCAAAATTTTCCAGATCGTAGTGTCCATGTATAATTTTATATGATTAGATCAAGTCTCCCCGTTCTCAGTGATCCTTCAGTGTCGTTAATTTAAGCTTATTCAACCTTTCCTCATATGGTATGTTTTTCAATACTCTAGGGACCTTTGAAAATCTACGTTGAACTTTCTCCAGTAACTCAATATCCTTTTTGAAATAGGGGCTCCAGATTTGGAACGCATACTCCAAAATAGGTCGAATGTATGCCTTATGTATTTTCAGCATCATTTCTGGTGTAAGATGTCCGAAGGCTTTTCCAATCAGGTAAATAAAACTATTTTCTTTTTTAGTTATAACTGTTATATGATGATTCCATTTTAAATCGTTACTTATATGCACACCTAAGTCTTTTTGTACTTTAACTTCTTCCAAAGGTATATCATCGATTTTATATATTAATCGAGGGTTTCTGTTTCCTATATGGAGGACTGTGCATTTATTTATATTTAATTTAATAAGCCACCTTTTTGACCAATCTGATATTTTAATTAGATCTGCTTGAAGGCGATCGAAGTCCACTAGTGGGTTTGCGAATATCTTCGTGTCATCAGCGAACATACTTACATTACAACTCAAGCTTTTTGGTAGATCAAAGGTAAACAGTATAAACAATACCGGTCCCAGTACAGAACCTTGTGGCACACCGCTTTGTATTTCTTTTTCATCTGACAATGTATCGCTAATCCTTACTCTGAAGGTTCTTTGTCGTAGAAAACTCTCAATCCAAGTTAACAGTTTCCCTCGAATACCAACATACTCCAATTTATGTAAAAGCCTGCCTATTGGTACTTTATCAAAAGCTTTTTCGTAATCCAGATATATAACATCTATTGGTTCTCGATCATTTTGACTGTTGACCCAGGATGATAAGCAAGACATCAAGCTGGAAATCGTTGATCTATGAGGACAGAAACCGTGTTGCTGTTTACCAATAGTTTGTTGTTTTTTAAGGAACTGTCTCATGTGCTTAACTATTATCTTTTCCATGACTTTGCACACCACACTAGTTAAGCTTATCGGTCTATAATTTGCAGGATCTAATTTGTTTCCCTTTTTGTAAACAGGAGTCACTAAAGCCGTTTTCCATAAATAAGGCAAAACTCCTTTGTCGTATGATTTTTGCATTACTGATGCTAGGTAACTATAATTTGATTGTACGGGTATTTCGTCGGGGCCAGGTGAAGAGTCTATATTCATTTCTTTGATAGCAGCTTGTACTTTGGATTCTGTGAACATGATGTCCTCCATAACTTCAGTTGCTCTTAGGTTTGGGTCAAGCGCAGGAAGTTCTTCTAGTGGTTCTCTTTCAAATACATTAGAAAAATGTTCTGCAAATACTTCCGCTATGTCTTTAGAACGTGTCACAGATTGCCCATTACTTTTCCGTAAAATGTTTGGTGTACTAACTTTAGAGGTGATTTGCTGCCTGATGTACGAGTAAAATTTCTTTGGTCCTAGATCTAATAGTTGATTTTCGTAAACTGCCCTTGCCGTGCGCCTTAAATTAGTCAGTTTGTTATTTAGCTTCCTATGTTCCTTATAGATTTTATCTGACCCTGTTACAGTATATCTCTTCCAAATAATTTTTTTTTCCCTTATTAACGCAGATAAGTCATACTTTATCCATGGTTTATTTACGTTATTAAATGTTTTTACAAGAGGAACATGTGTGTCTATGGCATTAGTTATTGTTTTATGCATTATTCTAAACTGTTCAACTGGACAAAGTACATCTTTAAACATTTTTTTTAAGCCGGAGTGAATTTCTTCTTTGATTTTGTTGTAGTCTCCTTTATTAAAGTTCTTTTTAGATTTAGATTGCTGCCTATTCTGTTGTGTTTGTAACTGTATAGTCGATACTAAGCATGCATGATCGCTTTTCCCAATTGCGGCCTCATAATTAATTCCAACTATCAAAGACTCATCGTTTGTCAAGATTAGGTCTAAAGTAGATGGCTGGTGACCCTGGCGAAACCTCGTATATTGATCTACCAATTGGTATAGATTGTTGTTGTTATACCATTGCAAGAAATTGGTTTCTTTTGGCGTGGATACACACAATTTGAAAGTGGCCACTTGACTCCACCAAAGTTAAAGTCACCCATTATTATTACTGTGTTTGACTGGGAAGCCAGTTCTAAATTTTGTAGGAGGAAGTTGTCATGATCGATAGTTGATTCGTGCCCTCTATATAGTCCACATAACAGTATTCTTTGAAAACCTACTTCAATGTCTACCCATAAACATTACCAAGAGTCATACTTCGTATTATACTGATTATTTCGCTTTGATGTCATATATGTAATATTGTTCAATACATAAATAGCGACTCCTCCACTTCGTTTATCAATACTATCGTCTCTGTATAAGTCGTAACCCGGTATCTTTATCAGTGAGTCAGGTATATTTGGTTTTAGCCATGTTTCTGAGAGGACTATAATTGATGGTTTTAGTTGATCAACTCTTGCAATGAATAAATCCAGTTTAGATGTTATCGATTGTATGTTTGTGTATAAGATTGTTATTGTTAAGAGTGCGGAAGGTATCGAAGATCGCGTTTTTTTGTTAAAAAGATTTACTAGTGAGGGTTGGTGAATTTGGACTAGTTTTTTATCTCCTGTTTACAGATAATTTTAGGCTGCCCTTGTATATACATGATAGTCAAACCTTGTTCTCCATTATTAGTACGATTCTTTAATTCATCACGGAGGTATTTTAAGTACTCGCGTTGCATGGCAGTTTGGTCTGATTTAATATTTGACGGTTTATCCAGTTTAGTTTTGTTACGAAGTATCTCAATAGCATCATTCTTAGACTTCATTACTACTTTAATGGGACGAGGAGGAGCCCCAGCTTGAAACTTACCAAGACGAAATAGTTTCACATTATCACAGCTAACTTTTTTGCTCACACACGTTATTATTTTCCTGCACTCCTCTTTATCATGCTCCTGCCTTTGTAAAGGTTTATCTGTAGGTTAATAGGAAATCAATGATGTAAAAGAAATATAAAATTATGAAGGTAGATTTTAAAAGTTCGTAATTCACGCGAATAGTTTTTTTAAAGTTTTGCACTTAAGTTTATAATTACTACTTTAAGTTTATAATTACAGTGAGAAAACACTAGCACTAAACATCTTTAGCCTGCCTCATATCTTGATTGTACTTTTATAACATGGAACACACTATTTGAATTTATTGGTACCAAATCATCAACAGCACTTGTACACACAACCACTTCAGTTTGACATTTTTCGATTATTTTATAGGATAGAGTGACAAACGAGCACACAGTCCACCTGATGGTAAGTAGTTGCTGTAGCCCATAGATAGTAATTAGACATAATAATATATAAAACTCACGATACCATCCACACCATGTAACCAGCCAAGTGTCCGTCCACCAGTGTACATTTTACTAGAAGTTTTATTCCTCTTACGAAGACTGTGTGGAATCGTTTACCACCGGCGATTTTTCCGTTACCTATACGACTTAGGGACCTTCAAGAAAAGAGTTTAGTTTACCTTCAAGAAAAGACTTAAGTTTAGTTAGAGTAAACTCTTTTTTATATTATAATAAGACAGTAATTAGACATCTACATCTATCAGGTATTCAGCTTATCCGGCCTAAAATTACTATCTGGCCGGATACCGGATAACAAACAGCTATCCGGCCGGATACCGGATTAAAAAAATCTAATTTATTTAAGTATTTATGTTTCTTAACGAATATAATCAGTACGTAATCACAAAATTTTCATTTTAAAACTTACAAAATTAGTACTCGTACTGCGCTAAGGCACGGAATAACTAATAGTACTACGTAGCTAAGGGCAAATTATAGCGAATAAATACTAATTTCCCTGCAATGAAAGGTAACAAGCGGTTTCGTCTGTCTTCATAAACAAGGCCAGCTTCATAAAAAAGGCTTTCGCTGTACACACTGCTGCAGGATGCTGAAAGATAGATTTTGGCAAACTTTATTAATTTGGCTATTGTGTAGCAATACCTGTCCACCAAATATAAGGGTGACGATCGCGAACAGTTTGCACTGACTTTACTTTTCGCTTCTTGCGATACACTAAACGGCAACGTTCGTCAGAATATTCGGCGGCCGGATATCCAGCTATCCGGCAATAAGACTGGACGAATATCCTGTATCCGGTCAAACAGCTATCCGTTTCATGTCTACGATATAGAAATTAATCTTTATTGAGTCTAAATCTGTTTCAAAATTATCATCTATCTCTTTTGGTTCGATAAGTTATCCAAAACAAGATATACTATTACATACTGAACATATTTTGACGTCAGTGCGACCATCCTTATAATAAAGATCCTGTCTTACTTTGGTTAGAAACCTGCCAGAGTAGTCTCTGTAGTAAAAAATGCCCAAATACGGCCAATTTTATTTACCATTGTATTAAAGTAAGAAAAGTAAAAATACATATTTAACATGCTATGTTTTTATTAAATTAAAAGTAACATTGCAGTTAGCACCATATTCCTCATTTTTTTCATCTTTATTCATTCGATTTAACATATCTTTCGTTGGTTTGAATGCAATGCAATCGCCATGTTCACCAATGCCTTGTTTAAAGTGCAAGATACACGCTACATGATGTTTATAAATCTGCTTCGTAATTTTGTCTTTAAATTTATTTGAGAATATTCTTTCACATGCAGCGTTGGACATAGGTAATCATAGCAGCTCTTTGCGAAATTTGCAATACATACTTAATTTAAGTGTCTCTTGTATGACTGATTGAAATATTAACCATAAACTCGTGTTTCCGAATATTTTAAGAATTTATTTTAATGTGATACAAACAATACCAGAAGTACAGGGAAATCCCCACATGCTGGCGAAGTATCTATTTTAAGTTACCATTTTAGGCACTTTGAGTTGCCATACTGAAACCTATTTCTAACACCCCAATACTGCCACGTTTTATAAAGGGTGGTTTGAGGTACCGTAGACAGAGAAACCTATAGACAATGATCGGCGTGGCCTCAAGTGAGAAAGGACGATAACGAATTTTTAGGTTATACAATAATCTTTATGACTTTTAAACACATTTAGATAAAAAATTTAATTGTTCTAAGAACTGAACTGAACAAGATTCACCAATCTTAGGCTCACAAAACACTTTTTTCTCACTTAAACCAACTTGTAAACTCCTTAAATCGCTACGCTTTCAAAGTTCTTTAGCAAACTGTAGAGTTTGCTAAACAAAAAAAACCGGCACGGTGAAAGGGACAAACAATCACACCGCTCTATCTCATTTCTATGCAAGACGTTTGCATAAATCTATCTTTTTCGTGTGCGAATGTGAAAGAAGGCGTCAATTTGTCTATAGGTTTCTCTATCTACGGGTCAAACAGTGTCACCATATCTTGTATAAGTTAGTCTATGAACTATGATATTTAGTAGGATTTATAGTTTTATTGCTGGTAATACTGAACTGTCAGTAGCACGCAATATGGCGGACCGTAAGCAGGCGTCTACGCATAAGCCGGTAAGTATTATGTATTTTACTACTTTTTTATGCATTTTTGATTATTGTTTGAAGTGAAAGTAAATGCAGTAACGTTGCATTATCCCTGGACAGTGGCGAAGCCTCCATAGAAGCCAAAAAGCCAGGCAAGCCCTTTCAAACTGCTCAATCAATAATATCAACTAATAAAATAACTCGTAAACTGTTTCAAACTATTTAAAATTTTCCACGCGCTCCTCTGTTCTAACACAGGTCATGACTTCATTCATGACATTCAGTTCATGACACTTGGCAGTTTGCTTTCAATTCGAAATACACTGATTCGTGTTCTCTCTGTCTCAAAGCGAACACGCAATGAACTGTCAAAATTAATGAAAGCAAGGAGTTGATTTGAACGATCAGTCGTCTCTCTCGCACGCGTGGGCTTTTTACCGGGCTTTTGAGAAGACGATCGCTCCCTTTCTAACCTGTGACAAAATGTTATAAAATGAAATATAACTACGAAATGTTTATATAGGAATTACTGTGGAACCAAATGCCGGGCTTTGCTCTGAAGTTGTTTCCCAGTGAAGTGTGCGCGGGCGATACGTTTGAAAGTTCACTTCACATATCAATGTTTACCTACTTTGTTTATTTTTGTGGTGACCGTTGAAAATTTATGCTTTCAAATAATTTTTAGTAAAAATGGAGGATAATAGTGTTCCTTGTGATGAATTGAAGTGTGTTAAAGTGCTAATCGGCGAGGAAAAGGTAAAATCTTTAAATTTTATTGAGAACAGCTCGAATCTTCGCTCAATTATCGCAATTGAAAAACAGTTATTGGTACAATTAAAACGTTCACCAACATTTTACGTGGACGTAATCAAATCTTTTCTTAAGAAAGAGAGACCATTCAATTTAGAATAAAAATAATTTTTTTTTAATTTTGTAAATAGTTTGTTTGTACTTTGCTCACGTATAGTATTGTATGTAAATTTCTTTTTCTTTCGCTCAAACAAACTCAAACGGCTTTTTTCAAAGCCACGTAAGGTATGCAGTTGCTGATATGTAATACAATCTACCTAGAAGTAGTATCTCTTCTGTGTGCTTTCTTAAACACGTCCTCGACAGCACTGAATATGAAACTGAAGAGTGGAGACAGATCAAGATTGGTGTATTTTTATAAAACTTCTAAAAACAACAAAACCATATCTTGGCCTTGCCTTAGTTTGGAGCCCTAGCTTCGCCACTGTCCCTGGATGTAGTTTTTTGATATCAAGATAATAAATGTTTCAACAACAAAACAGAGCCCGCAGAATTCTCGCCCTAGTTCCAAAATCTGGAGATCAGACGTAGGTAGCAGTGATGATTCAGCTTATGAGTTAGATAAGTATATCCCTCCAACTCATTCAGACATTAGCTCTCCACCTCCATCTTTGCTGTCGTCTTTGTTAGATATAAACCTATTATCGGCTAGCAATGAAGAGATAGATGAAATAATGTACAATGCTCCAGCTTTGCAACTATACTCATCGAAACCAACTGTTGTCACAAAAAAAGTACTAACACCAAAAAGGTTAGAGGTCAATTGGCGTTATCAGAAATTCACTGGTTCGGCTGAAGTTGAAGATTTTTTGGAATTTCCTCAAGAAGAAATGAGCCCAATTAAATATTTTAAACGCTTCTTTACTGACGAAATAGTGAAAATAATAGTAACACAAAGTAATCTTTATAATAGTCAGTCCAAGGGCGTTAGTATTAATATCACGGAACGGTATGTACGAGACTATAGCCATGAATATATTACTAGGTATCGTTAAAATGCCAGCATACAGAGATTTCTGGTCTCAAAAGTTTCGCTACGAAAAAGTAGCGAATGTCATTACGCTAAAAAAGTTTTAACTACTCAGAAGATATCTACATTTTAACGAAAACCTGCGTTATGATGGAGATAGTTATTACAAGATTAGACGATATGAATGACAAGGTCGTGGAAACTGTCAACTTGGTCGGAGCTTAGTTCTGCAAGACCCACTGCAGAAGAAAACAGAAACTCTTCGATCACACTCTTTAATCTCATGGAATGGGAGATGAAGCTGCAGTCTTCAACAGATTTGACAGCATACTGGCAACTAAACAGAACAAGACATCTCCAAATACATGCGGCGGGATTTAAGCAACTTTAATACTGCTCGTATTGAAGAAGCGATCGAGCGAAACCAGAGCTTCAAAGTCTTTGACAGAGATCTGTCTGCCAGAAAAAGCCAACTGTCATATTCCCTGCACCATCTCTCCACTATACGGAGAGCCACTTGGGTTAGGTCGCACACCATGCTTGCTGTCTT